TGATACTGCCCCGCAGATCTGATACAATGGTTATGTTGCCCCTTGGCTCAAGATCTGGCAGACTGCCTGCCTTTTTTTAAGTATGGGGAGGGAGCCCAGAGGTGATGTGATGTCACATGCAGGTCAAAGTTCACCTCCTCCTCCTCCTTTGTGGTCCTTTCCTCTCACCAACATTTAAATTTTCCACCTCACATCATGCCCCTTCCACCTAATGTTATGTATAGACTTCTACCCTGACCTGGATGGCCCAAGATAGCCCGAGATTATCAGGTGTCGGAAGTGGAGCCGGGTCGGCCCTGGTTAGTCCAGACCAATGCTCCCTCTAAGTTGTGGAGTCTTGTGAGCAAAAATTCTACTTTGTGAGCCACTGGCATTATAGCTGTGAGCGAGCGATTTGGCTGCTACATAAATTAGCTTGCTCTGGAGCCCTCCTTCCTGAGCGAAGACACTCACACTAACTCAGCTTAGAGGGAACACAGTTCCAGGGTCGCTATGCAGAGGCAGGCAATGACAAACCACCTCTGAATGTCTCTTGCCTTGAAAACACTTCAGGGGTGACATAAATCTGCTGCAACTCAACGGGCACTTTTCATTATTATTGTTGTTGTCGTTATTTAATTTATAAACCGCCCTCCCCCAAAGAGGGTGGTGTACAACATTGAATAAACATACAATAATTAAAAGACATAAATAACAGTTAATGACAATCGCCAAGAGTCGAACACGACTGAATGGCTAACAACAGTAAAATCAATGAGATAACATATACCAGATCATCAATGGCACACTGTTCTTCCTCTCCCTCTGTAAGACGGGTCGCAGGCCGGATATGGCAAAAGGCCACCCCTGTCCTCAACCGTAGGCCTGGTGGAACGTCTCTGTCTTACACGCCCTGCGGAACTGAATTAGGTCCCACAGAGTGCAGATGTCACTGGGCAGAGGGTTCCACCAGGCAGGAGCCATGGCCAAAAAAGCCCTGGCTCTGGTTGAGGACAGCCGGATATCTTTTGGGCCAGGGACCACCAGTAAGTTTTGATCTCCTGAGTGTCACGCTCTCTACCGGGAGAGGCAGTCCCGTAGGTACGCTGGTCCCAGATTGTTAAGGGCCTTAAAGGTTAAAACCAAAACCTTGAAGCGGATCCAGTACTCAAGTTGGAGCCAGAGTAGCTGGCGAAGCACTGGTTGGATGTGTGCTTTTATTGGGGTACCTGTAAAGTACCCTCACCGCTGCATTTTGGACAAGTTGCAGTTTTTGGGCCAGCCTCAAGGGCAGCCCTATGTAGAGCAAGTTATGTAAGACGGGTCGCAGGCCGGATATGGCAAAAGGCCACCCCTGTCCTCAACCGTAGGCCTGGTGGAACGTCTCTGTCTTACACGCCCTGCGGAACTGAATTAGGTCCCACAGAGTGCAGATGTCACTGGGCAGAGGGTTCCACCAGGCAGGAGCCATGGCCAAAAAAGCCCTGGCTCTGGTTGAGGACAGCCGGATATCTTTTGGGCCAGGGACCACCAGTAAGTTTTGATCTCCTGAGTGTCACGCTCTCTACCGGGAGAGGCAGTCCCGTAGGTACGCTGGTCCCAGATTGTTAAGGGCCTTAAAGGTTAAAACCAAAACCTTGAAGCGGATCCAGTACTCAAGTTGGAGCCAGAGTAGCTGGCGAAGCACTAGTTGGATGTGTGCTTTTATTGGGGTACCTGTAAAGTACCCTCACCGCTGCATTTTGGACAAGTTGCAGTTTTTGGGCCAGCCTCAAGGGCAGCCCTATGTAGAGCAAGTTACAGTAATCTAGCCTTGAGGTGACCATTGCATGGATCACCACCAAATTTCTGCATTCATGTGTTCTGTGTTACTCTAACTTTTTGATATTTGGTATAACTGGGTGCTATACAATTACGTACCACTCAGCCTAAAAAGCCTCTCAGAATCCCCTTCAGGTTTTTCTCTCTGTTCTGAAGTCCCAACGGGAGGCCATTAGCCAACAGCATTTCCTGGCTTCTGGCCTTTAGTGACTTTACAGGTAACAACCAGTTTCTTCTAGTTTCTGTGGTATACCAGAGGAGACACAGAAGTCCTACAACATCCACCCTTTGTAGCCAGTCTAGGACTTGCATTTCTTCAAGATTCTATGGCATAACATAGAGTCCTCTTTATGTAGAAGCCATTTGCACATGGAACTGGCAGTGGAACAAGGACCCACCCCCTGCCATTCTTTGCTGTTAGATGTGGCTTGGGATGGGAGGGGGAGAAGGCCGAAGCCCATTCTTTTTTTAAAAAAAGTTTTATTTATAAAGTGTTTTACATCACCAAACATGAATATATCATATATACTAAATATACACAAAGTTGAGTCAGTACATTATTATCTAACCAAGTATATACTCCTTTCCATCTTTTCAGAAATAATTCATCATCTTTTACTTGTAGTAAAATCGACAGTTTATCCATTTCTGCAATCTCCAATATTCTATGTATTAATTCTTCTTTTGAAGGTAAGCACTCAGATTTCCAATACTTAGCAAACAAAATGCGAGCAGAAGTCACTGTATACGTTATTATATATATTTAATATTTCTTATAATTATCAGGCAACATGTTTAACAAAAAGATTTATGGTAGATAGGGTAGTTCTATGTTCAATATCTCTGCTATTATTTTATGGACCTTGCACCAGTATTGAGATATTCTACACCTCCACCACATATGGTAAAAAGTGCCTATGTTCTTTTTACATTTCCAACAGTTTTTTTGACATATTGGCATAACATTTAGCCATTTTATCAGGTGACCAATGCCACCTATAGAACACTTTATGTTTTCTTTATATGGAATTGCTCTCATATATTTTACTGCTTTCCATATCTTGGACCATGTGTCATAATTTATATTATGTCCTAAATCCTGCATCCAGGTAATCATTGGAGTTTTCACTGATTCATCTTGTAGATAATCGTTGAGGAGAAAATTATATAGTTTTTGTATTATTTTGTCATTTGAAGACAACCAAATCTTATCCAGCTGTTTTTGATTCATAAAAACCTATTTTCTTGTCTTTATTGTATTTTGTAGCTAATTGTATGGCTTCCCACCACATTAGTTTTATATTTTGCGAGTCGAGATCTTCCTGTGTTTTCAATGTATTGTTTGTATCTAATAGCGTCTCAAAATTCTCTCTTTTGTCTTTAGTGAGTAACATAGGTTTTATGAATGCTTCTAATGGTGACGCCCATTTGGGAGTTTTATCATAAAAGTGTTCCTTTATTTCTCTCCATATTTTTATTAGCGCACCTCTTATAGTATGTTGCTGGAAATTGTCCGAAGCCCATTCTGATGCCGTGCTCTGCAGCTGAATCCCCCAGCCCCATTTTAAAAGTGAGGCCCGGTCAGATATGAAACATTTAGGACTTGCATTTCATTTCTCTTGTGACAACAGCCTTGACAGTCTGGAGACTGTGGGAGAATGGCAGATCCCAATGGCACTCCATTTAGAGTGCATGTTTTGACAACAGCCTTAACACTCAAGCTATGTACATCTGCATGGAGCTGAGATTTTGGCTCGTTCCCACAACCACGGAGTTTGCCACGGCCCGCTTGATTTCAGTTCCAGTTAAGGTTGCCGGCCTCCAGGCGGGGCCTGGAGATCTCCCACTATTGCAACCGACCTCCAGATGACAGAGATCAGTTCCCCTGGAGAAAATGGCTGCTTTGGAGGGTGGACTCTATGGCGTTGTACCTCGCTGAGGTCCCTCCCCTCCTCAAACTAGGGTTGCCAAGTGTTGTTTGAGCCGCAGCGGGGGACTCCTGGCTGGTGGCTGGAGTGCAAGCGCGCTTTGCGTGCGCCACACGTACATCACCCAGAAGTGACGTGACGACGCCGGGCACACTGGGGGCGGGGCCACGACCATCCAAGGGAAAACCATAGAGTTTTCCCTCGGATGACCGTGGCCCCACCCCCAGCATGCCCGGCGTCGTCACGTCACTTCCGGGTGACGTGCACGTCGGGGTGGGGTTCCCCCCGGGGCCCGATCCGCTGACGGCGGGGAAAACCCGCCCCCCGGGGGGACTTGGCAAGCCTACCTCAAACTCTGCCCTCCCCAGGCTCTACCCCCCCAAATCTCCAGGTGTTTCCCAACTCAGAGCTGGCAACCCTCGTTTCCGTTTCCAGTTGTGCTGCTGGTTGAATGACTGCGAGAGCAGGCATAGGCTGAGCTTTTCAAACACTACCCCAAAACATTCCTTGAGCCCGAAAGTGGGTTGAACACTGGGCTCAGTCTCCCCTTAGATCCCAAACACAAAAGAAACCACCCCTAAACTACTCTGCTGTGAGCACAATGGCTGCCTCAACTGGCCCTCTGTGACAACCGAATTCCAGGCTCTTTTTCTTTACTCCCAGTCTTGTTCTTCTCTCCCCCCCCCACCTTGCTTCCCCCACCTCCTTTCCTGTTCTTCTTCCTTCCCTAATCATTTTGTCCTCAGTGCTATGGGGCTAAAAGCCTGCTTCAGCAAGGGGACCTCTGAATCTATCAAACACCAGGATTAGGGTTACCAACCTCCAGGTGGCGGCTGGAGATCTCCTGGGATTACAACTGAGCTCCAGGCAACGGTGATCAGTTCACCTGGAGCAAATGGCTGCTTTGGAAGATATACCCTACGGCATTATACCCCACTGAAGTCCCTCCCCTTCCCCAAACCCCGCCCTCTTCAGGCTCCACCCCCCAAATCTCCAGGTATTTCCCAAACCAGAGCTGGCAACCCTAGGTTGGGGTGAAAAAAGCAGCAAAAGCATATAGATCTGTTATATGCTGAATGTTATAATAAGATCGTAGTAAGGCCTGGTACATTTAAGCAAAGGCAGATTTAAGCAGAAATGAGGCACCAAGATATTTTAGGGCCATTGTTTCTATTTCAAATAGGGGAGGTACTTGAGTTAACAGAGAGAGAGAGAGAGAGAGAGAGAGAGAGAGAGAGAGAGAGAGAGATGCCTAGATGTTATTTCTCAAAGTTAATCGGTGGGCTCATTGGGCCACTGCAAGTCCTTGTAAAAGGCACCTTTACAGCTTCTGATCTGATAATATCGTTCAAGTTCCAGCCCTGGTACGGTTGATCTCCAGCCGATAAACCCCTGAGTTGTCTGAGGAACAGGAGGAGATGGCTCTATCTGAAATTGAGAAGAACGTAAGCTATTTAGGTACCTGTTTGTTTGTTGCATTTCTCAGTATTCTCTCCCAAGGTGTCCTTGAACTACATCCACATGCATGATGGTTATTATTCTCAAAAATATTTATACATGGCACCCTCTGATCCAAATTGCTCGAGAGTGAGTCCAGACAAGCATTCAGTGCCATAATAAAACCAAGGAACAATGCACATTAAGATTACAGCAAACCATTAAGCAGCATGAAACCCAAGTCCGTTCAGCCTAAAACAAAAATCCTGCATAAAGACCAGAAAAATTAAGAATTATGATTTAAAATGGCAGCATCAACCCAAAGGATAAAGCCACAAATAAGGGAGTAAAAACTAGAGTAAGGTGCACTTCAGAATGAGAATGGCTGGCACCAGAACACAGGGCCAGCCTGACCAATAGGCAAACCTAGGTGACCATCTAGGTTTTCAGATTTTCAGGGGCACCAAAAAGGTGAGAAGAGCCTCCTGTTCCCTTTGGTGTAGTGGTTTGGTGTAGTGGTTAAGTGCGTGGACTCTAATCTGGGAGAACCGGGTTTGATTCCCCACTCCTCCACTTGCAGCTGCTGGATGACCTTGGGCAAGCCATAGTTCTGCCAGAGGTGTCCTTGAAAAGAGCAGTTTCTCTCAGAGCTCTCTCAGCCCCACCTGCCTCACAGGGTGTCTGTTGTGGGGAGGGGAAGGAGCTTGTATAAATCCAATCTCCTCCTCCTCCTCTTCTTCTTCCTCCTCCTCCTCCCCCCCCCATAGGGGACAGGCTGTGACTCAGTGGCAGAGCATCTGCATGGTATTGTGCAAATCCCCCGGTGTCTCCTGTTAAAGGATCAGGTAGCGGGTGATGTGGAAGACCTGTACCTAAGACACTGGAGAGCTGCTGCCAGTCTGAGCAGACGACACTGAGGCTGATGGACCAAAAGGTCTGACTCAGTATGAGGCAGCTTCCATGTGTGCCTTTCTTCTGGAGGCACCCACCCAACCCCCTTCCTTCTTCCTTCGAGCACTGTCCAAGCCAGTGGATGGAAGTAGCCATGGAACAAAATAAGAAGTTTCTGTAAGGTGCCAAACACCTTGGGCTAGCCCTGCTGGAACGCAGACAGACTTGGGGGCCGGCTGTTCCCTAAACAAGGTGCCACAAATGAAAAGGCCCCGTCCCCTGAGGCCATTTACCTTGCCACCAAAGTTGTGTGTGTGTGTGTGTGTGTGGGGGAAATCATAGAAATAATTAAGGTTGCCAATTTCCAGGTGCGGCCTGGAGTTCTCGCAGAATTACAACTGACCTCTCGACTATAGAGTTCAGTTCCGTTGGAGGAAATGGCAGCTTTGGAGAGTGAACTCTATGGAATCAAAACCCTACTGAGCTCTCTCCCTCCCCCAAATTCTGCAAGCTCTACCACCAGATTTCCAGGAATTTGCCAAGCCAAGGTTGGCAACTCTATGGGATGGATGGCCCTTAAGGCTGCAATCCCAAGAACACTTTCATGGGTGTAAACCCATTTGAATAAAATGGTACTTGCTTCAATAAAATGGTACTCACTTCAGTAGATCTCCTTAGGATTGCTGAGGTACCTTAAACAACCCCCAGGGCTTAACAGAGATATTGGTTTCTTATCTTACTACACATGCTAATGTCATTCAGTTCTTGCATCTGTTTGTAAACTTTTATTATGCTGTATGCTAATCTGCTCTATTCACAGATTTTACCAATTGCCTTAATCCAATTTTAGTTGTATTTGCTGCTATTCACAGGTTTTATTAATTGTTAACATCCTTCTCATCCTCCTCATTTATACCCCGCCCTTCACTACCCAAAGGAGTCTCAGAGCGGTTTACAAACTACTTTCCCTTCCCCTCCCCACAACAGACACCCTGTGAGGTTGGTGGGGCTGAGAGAGCTCTGACAGAAACTGCTCTTTTTCAAGAACAGCTTCGACAGAACTATGGCTTGCCCAAGGTCATCCAGCCAGATGCAAGTGGAGGAGTGGGGAATCAAACCCAGTTCTCCCAGATTAGAGTCCGCACACTTAACGACTACACCAAACCGGCTCTCTTCAAGTATCTGAAGAAGAGTGCATGCACGTGGAAGCTTATACCTAAAATAAAACTTTGTTGGTCTTAAAGGTGCCACTGGACTCAAAGCTTTGTTCATTAATACAGTGACTGTTTATATTCAAAAGAGACTGTTTCATGCAAAGAAAGAAACTGCTGCTTTCTAGGCTTAAATATATGTCCCTGAAGTGACTGAGGAGATTTCTGACCACAATAGGATTTAATTCTAAAAAGTGCTGAATTAATTGGAGTGTTTCATTTTGAGACCACTTTCACAAAGAGACACTTAAATCAATACTTCAGTTTCCCTTGACTGCATAATGCATATTCCACCGTTTTTTCAAAATGAATTTGCACTCCTTGAAATGCTGAGCCACCATCTTCAGCTGCAAGGAAGAGGATGCAAAGACAGGAACTGGGCATCTACCAGATCTGAACTAAGAGCAACTGTTAAGTGTAATCTCAAACTCAGACAGCCCCCCCCCCCCGTGTGAGAAGCAAAAAAGTTTCCTGTACTGCCACTTGTGAGAAGGCTACTCTTGGAATCTTGGCTAAGAGTCACAAATTTGCTTATGGCTAAGTCCCATGGAGTTGCGGTGGCACAAGTGGTTAAGACACTGAACTGCAAGCTGTGGAAGGTTGGTAGTTCAGCAGTTCGAGACCCGAGTTGAAAACAGATCAGCCAATATCATAATGCCCCTATATAAATCAAGGGTGCGACCTCATTTGGAATACTGTGTGCAATTCTGGTCACCACACCTTAAAAAGGATATTATACCTTTGGAAAAAGTGCAGAAAAGGGCAACTCGAATGATAAAAGGGTTGGAACACTTTCCCTATGAGGAAAGGTTAAAGCTTGGAGAAACGACGACTGAGGGGTGACATGATCGAGGTTTATAAGATTATGCATGGGATAGAGCAGGTAGAGAAAGAGGTACTTTTCTCCCTTTCTCACAATACAAGAACTCGTGGGCACTCCTTGAAATTGCCGAGCGGTCGGGTTAGAACAGATAAAAGGAAGTACTTCTTCACCCAAAGAGTGATTAACACTTGGAATTCACTGCCACAGGAAGTGGTGGCGGCTACAAGCATGGACAGCTTCAAAGGGGAATTAGATAAGCATATGGAGCAGAGGTCCATCAGTGGCTATTAGCCACAAGGTATAGATAGGGACTCTGGGGCAAGTGATGCTCTGTCATCTTGGTGCTTGGGGGGGGGGTCAACAGTGGGAGGGCTTCTAATGTCCTGGTCCCACTGTTGGACCTCCTGATGGCACTGGTATTTCTGGTCACTGTGTGATACAGAGTGTTGGACTAGATGGGCCTTTGGCCTGATCCAACATTGGCATCTCTTATGTTCTTATGTTCTTATGAGTGTGCCGCATGACGGAGTGAGCTCCCGTCTCTAGTTCCAGCTCTTGCCAACCTAGCAGTTCGAAAGCAAGAAATTGCAAGTAGATAAATAGGTACCACTTTGGTGGGAAGGTAACAGCGTTCCGTGCGCCTTGGTGTTTAGTCATGCCGGCCACATGACCACGGAAACGTCTTTGGACAGCGCTGGCTCTTCGGCTTTGAAACGGAGATGAGCACCGCAACCCTAGAGTTGGATTCGACTGACTTTCGAGCAAGGGAACCTTTACCTTTAAGTCCCATGGAGGACTGCAGTTGTTTTTTGAGAGCGTGAGTGTAGAGGGTAAAAGTTTATTTTGTCAAAGTGTTACGTTGAAAAGGGGTCCCAAATCTAGAGATCTGGAAACATGACTATACAGCACTGCTGCTTTTCTCACATCTCCGGCTCACATCTGTTTCCTCGCAGTTTTCCCACAACCACGTTGGGAGGTTAATCTCCCTCTACACTGCATGCCGCTTTCACTTATCTTTGCTCATCGGGTTTTATGGTACCTTCTGCATAGATTTATTGCCGTTCAGGGGTGACTTTGTAGTCAGTATGGTGTTGCCCTGGGGTATCTGAATGTGGTATTGAGCAGCACCTTTTCCTTCCTCCGCTTCTGATTCGAAGGGAACAATAAGCAGACAACTTGACATGGTTTTGTTGAACTCTGTCAGTTTCCCCACCCCTATTTCCTCATCTGTATCTATCACTTTGCCATGAATTACTTGGCTCAGGTGGCTAATGACCGCTGAGGAAAGGACTGACACAGGAAAATTTGCATACCAATGCAGAAACAAGTGTTGAGAACAAAATAGATGGCAAGCCGACACTGGCCAATGCAGAAACCGAGATCCGAGGCAATGCAATGAAAACAGATATTCCGAGGCAAGGGGGAACCAGGTTGAGTTCTGATAAAATGTGGAGCGAATGCCAGATGCAGAATGGACCTCCCTGGATTTGGGGCTAGACCTGCTCACCCAATGATGGTCAAGGAAAATGGGGGATTCACCTCTCCCTAGTAGTTTTCTGTAGATGTAGCGGGTGCCACCCACCAAGTAGAAAACTACTTGTGCAGGTGAAGAAGAAGAAGAAGAGTTGGATTTATACCCCGCCCTTCCTTGGAGTCTCAGAGTGACTTACAATCACCTTCCCTTCCTCTCCCCACAACAGACACCCTGTGAGGTACGTGGGGGCTAAGTGAGAGAACTGTGACTGGCCCAAGGTCACCCAGCTGGTTTCATGTGGAGGAGTAGTGGGGAATCAAACACGGTCCTTCAGTTTAGAGTCTGCCACTCTTAACCACTACACCAAGCTGGCTGACTGTCACTGTGTTTGGAATGGGTGCTTACATAGGTAGCACAAGAATTGGATGCAACGCTAAAAAGAAAGGCATAATAGGCTAACTGGACAGGCATTTCCCCCCCCCGGTGATTGATACTCTTGCCAAATCTTCAGAACAGGTTACAGTTGTATGAAGGTAGAAGAAGAAGAAGAAGAAGAAGAGATTGGATTTATAACCCGCCCTTCACTACCCAAAGGTGTCTCAGAGCGGCTTACAAACTCCTTTCCCTTCCCCTCCCCACAACAGACACCCTGTGAGGTAGGTGGGGCTGAGAGAGCTCTTGACAGGAACTGCTCTTTTTCAAGAACAGCCCTTATCAGAACTACAGCTTGCCCAAGGTTATCCAGCCAGGTGCATGTGGAGGAGTGGGGAATCAAACCCAGTTCTCCCAGATTAGAGTCCGCAAACTTAACCACGACACCAAACTGGTAGGAAGATAATATGGTTTACTATGGAGTGGTCTCTATGGGTTGGGTCCAGACTATCGTTTTATGAGGATGCAAGGATTTCCACCTACAGAAAACAATTTTCCCACTTAGGGAGAACCCCAGGAATAGGATTGGGGGTACATTGGGCTACTGCAAAGAAAGGGGAGGCTAGAAAATCACAATCTGCAGGTAGAAGTCCTTGCACCTGTCAAAATATTAGCCTGGAACCAAGCCTATGAATCTGTTCCTATACTGATGTGGAAACAACAAAGTGAGAATTTTTCTATTAAAAAATAGGTGATTTGTATTGGGGGGGGGGGCGGACACATGAAGAAGAAGAAGAAGAGATTGGATTTATACCCCACCCTTCACTACCCAAAGGTGTCTCAGAGCGGCTTACAAACTCCTTTCCCTTCCCCTCCCCACAACAGACACCCTGTGAGGTGGGTGGGGCTGAGAGAACTCTGACACAAACTGGTCTTTTTCAAGGACAGCTGTGCCAAGGTCACATCAGCAGGTGCAAGTGGAGGAGTGGGGAATCAAATCCAGTTCTCCAAGATTAGAGTCCGCACACTTAACCACTACACCAAACTGGCTCTCTGGCATGAAGCACATGAAGCAGATGTCTACTCAGTCAGACCACAGGCCTATCAAAGCTGATACTGTCTGCCTTGACTAGCCTCAGCTCTCAAAGGTCTCAGGCAGGGGTCCTTCCCGTCACCTGTGACCTGATCATTTCCACTGGAAATGCTGGGGATGAAAGCTAGGCTCTTCTATATGCCAAACAATTGTTTTTCTACCGAGCCATGGGTTCATCTATGGAATGGGAAAGAGAAGAATTCTAAGAACAAACACAAATTAGTGACCGAGTTGGTTTTTGCGCAAGGAATCATTAATCCCTTTGAAAGTCTAGTTAATGTAAACAAACGTGGCTAGCAAAGTTAGCTAGGAGAAAAGACCCCAAGGTCTCCCTTTCCACCTTGTTTTCTGTGCTTACTTTGGCTAAGCCTGCTCCACAGAGCAGGCTGAAAGTGCTCTTTGGTGTATCGCTTTAACATCTGGGGGCTTATTCAGCAGAGAAATGCACAGTGAGAAAGCAATATTCCTAGTTTGTTCTGCTGCCAGAGCCCTTTTGCTTTGTTCCTCGGCCAAGACTGGAAAACATGTGTGATTTCTAGGCGGAGGACTTCCTTTGGAATAAGCTCCTCTTCTTTCTTCCTTTCTTTTTTCTTTTTTCTCCCCCCTTGGTGGCACAGGCCACCCACTGGGCTGAACAATGGAGAAAATGATGCTCTTCTGGTTCCATGCCTTAGAAAACAAAGGCATCATTGGATTCCTTTGCCTGACTCTTCCAGAGGAACATTTCATTCCCACGGGAGCATGCTGAAGGGTATAATCTCAAATCTCAGGTGCTGAGATGCCTCAAGACGGTTCTCTATACATTTCCAGAACTAACTTGTTTTTGTGTGTCCTGATGGGCAAGCCATGAGTCAAGGGCGCCAGGCTTCCATCCAGACTTCCATGGTTTCATGGCTACCGATCCAGCTGTGAGCTAAAGGAGGATTTTTTTGTGCGTGGCGAAAGGAGGAAGGCATCCAGACAGCAGCTTCCTAGTTACGGAGCTTCTCCAGCTGTGCATTTTTTAAAAATGCTTGCCTTGTGGATGATGAAATCTTAAAAAGACATGAGTTACCAATGCCAACTGGTATTTTTGCCCTGGAGCATGGATGGCCAACATCTATATTTTCAAGGGCCATTCTACTTGCCAGGAGTATAGTTTGCCACACAAAACAGTTCCTTTTGCAATAACGCTAGTGCCCAGGCTCGCCTGATCTTGGGCCATTTTGCATCTGGCATTTGCTCCACACTTTCTCAAACTGAGGAAAAGGTGCAGCTCAACACCACATTCAGATACCCTAGGGCAATGCTGTACTGACTGCAAAGTCACACCATAAATCTATGCAGAAGGTACCATAAAACCTGGTGATCAAAGAAAGCGAAAGCGGCATGCAGTGTAGAGGGTACCATAAAATCCGATATCAAAGAAAGTGAAAGCGGCATGCAGTATAGAGGGTACCATAAAATCTGATATCAAAGAAAGTGAAAGTGGTACGCAGCGTAGAGGGTACCATAAAACCTGATGATCAAAGAAAGTGAAAGCAGCATGCAATGCAGAGGGGAATTTCTGTTCCAAGGTGGGTTTTGTAAAACAAAGGAGGGAAAAGGCAATACAGAATCGCCCCTTGTTAGATCTCAGAAGCTAAGCAGGGTTGGCCCTGGTCAGTATTTGGATGGGAGACTGCCAAGGAATACCAGGGTTACTATGCATAGGCAGGCAAGGACAAACCTTCTTTGAATTTTTTTTGTCTTGGGGGACACCATAAATCAGCTATGACTTGACCACAAGGAAAAAAAGGTAGTATTGGGGGCTTTACAATTATGTTACACGGAGACTGTCAGTGTGGCCAGGGCTTTGCAAACAAAATCCAAAGAGATGAAACAGTAAAGTGTGGAATATACCATTTCACAACTTTTGGAAAACAAATTCGTTTATCATTTTTTATAAAATCACACCTTGATTAAAAACTTTAGCAGGGATCAAATAGAATTGCTTCATGGGCTACCTCAGGCTTAGAGAATCACAGCACCTGCTAGGTATGGCCTTTTGTTGTGACTGTGGTGAAGAGAGTTGACAAAACAACTTTTTCTCCCTTTACCAAAATACTACAACTCAAGGGCATCCAACAAAGCTGATGGACAGTAGATTCAGGACAGACAAAAGGAAATACTTTACACAGTGAGAGATTAAAAATGTGGAATTCACTGCCAGAGGATGGAGTGATGGCCACATGCATGGACAGCTTTAAAGGGGGATTAGACAGGTTTATCAGTGGCTACATGGTGACTAAAGGGAACTTCCATGTTCACAGGTAGTCGACCTCTGAATTCCAGAGCCAGGAGGCAACATCAGGGGAAGGCCTCAGCCTCCATGCCCTGTTGTTGGCCCTCCAGAGGAACTGGTTGGCCACTGCATGAGACAGGATGCTGGATCAGATGGACCACTGGTCTGATCCAGCAGGGCTCTTCGTTATGTTCCTATGTTCTAACACTGGCTGGTGTGACTTTTTTTTGCAGAAGTGGGGTGTTCCAATTTAACTACCTTTTAAGAAAGTAGGGGTGAAAGTGAGTGAGTATGGGCTGATAGAGCGTACCAGTAAGGAAGTGGCCAAAGTGTTACCTCCCATCTTCTGTTTCAGGTTCCAGTGCTGGTCAGAAACATAAGTTACTTTTACCCCGTAGGAAAGCGATCTGGGATATGCTCTTGAAACTTAAGGTAATTCTGAATTTCGAGCTGCTTCCCACTGCAACTGCAGAAATGAGATAACTATCCAGATAATCTATAACCTTTTTTTGTCCTACAGCTAGACTCAGCAGAACTTCTAAAAGATGCTTTCTGTCTCAAACAAGCCTTTTAAAGTAGTACTAACGATTTTTGGTACCATTTACTTTGACCTTTACTTAAATACCTGAAAAATCAACCGATTGGGAATCTTTACGGGGCTTACCAAAGGTATATGTTTTTTTAAAATTCCACTACCATTTTAGACCACCTTGCTATTGCCTAACCTTAATATATTTCTCCACCGGTGTCACAGGTCGGATTTGCAAGTGCTCCGGAAGCGGGATCTTTGGTTTAGGAGGCTGCTTCTTTTCATCTTTTAACAGCTAAAAATAGACGATCAACACAATGAAATAAATTGCCACTTCGGACTGAATAGTGTATTGTGATAACATTGTAATAGCTCATATCTGTCTACATATTTATACTGTTCCCAGTGCAGCTGCACCTGATGACCTTGTACTTGGCATCTGATATGAGGCCATTTATCATGAGGCTTTGGATGCTTTTGTAATTCGCCATTCATTCAGGGAATTAATTTTCATTTTAAGGCTAAGAACAGTGGGGAGGACAGATAAGTGCTCTCAATTAAAGGGCTGAGAAGTTGACTCACTTAACTCCAGACTAATGTCTGAGCATAAGTACCTACTAAATAGATGTACGACCAGAAAATTGCATAACAGGAATTTCAAATGCAGTAGGTTTCAATGAAGCAAATAAATCACTGTCTAGATTCTGTCAGGGCATAACACACTTACCAGTGGTCTGCCTATGGTGGGCAGACCTTTACCCTCCAGCTGAATCTCCTATCTCAAGACATTGAGGAGCAGAAGAAAAACAATGGCTCCAAGCAGTCACTTCTGGGGGGACACTATAGGAATGTCCTCAATCTCTATGGTAGAGTGACCATAGAGACTGGTGAAATTCCTAGAATGTCACCCCAAAGGGTGGTGGGTAGCATTTGGGGAGCTTTGATGTTATTTCAGGCTGGCGCACTAGGAATTTCCCTGATCTCTATGGTTTTTACCATAAAGATAGATCATCAGCTAGAAAAGACATTATTTATTTATTTATTTAATCAAATTTGTACCCCACCCTCCCAGCCTGGGCTGGCCCAGGGCGGCTTACATAAAATTGGCAAAAACATTTAGTAATATAGTATAATATATAATAAAACACTTGTAAATTCCCTAAAGTGCTAGATTATAATAGCAAAGTTTATGATGGCTACCATCAGCTATCTCTCTTCCCATGGCCGGTTCGCAGGTCTTCTACAGATGTCTTCAGCGTCTTCCCGGCTGCTGGTACAGCTGTTACTATACATTCCAGGGCAGTGGACTTCTTATCCTAGTTGTTAATAGTGGCGGCAACTCCAAAAGCCTGGCGGAAGAGCTCCGTTTTACAGGCCCTGCGGAACTATAATAGGTCCCCCAGGGGCCTGATCTCCTCTGGGAGCTCATTCCACCAGGATGGAGCTGCCACTGAGAAAGCCCGCACCCTGGTTGTCCCCAGCCTGGCCTCCTTAAGGCTCAGGAGGGCCAGTCAGTTCTGGACCCCTGAACGCAGTGCTCTCTGGGGAACGTGGGGAAAGGCGGTCCCTCAGGTATGTAGGTCCCTGTCCATAGAGGGCTTTAAAGATAAGAACCAGCACCTTGAAACTAATTTGGTATGCTATCGGCAGCCAGTGCAGTGCCTTGAGCACGTGCTCCTGAATTGGGAGTCCTATCAACAGCCTGGCCACAGCATTTTGCACCAGCTGCAGCTTCCGGATTTGAGACAAGGGCAGCCCCATGTGGAGAGCGTTACAGTAGTCCAATCTCGAGGTGACCATCGCGTGGATCACTGTTGCCAAGTCGTTGCGTTTGAGGAAGGGAACCAACTGCCTGATCAGCCGGAGAGGGTAGAAGGGCTGCCTTGGCCGTGGCTGCTCCCTGGGCCTCCATTATAGCATCTCCAAATGCCACCCTCTGCAGGCACCCCTCCCCAAATCTCTTGGCATTTGCTGAGGCAGTGCTGGCAACCCTGGGGCATATGTAGGTTTGCCAGCACAAGGCTGGCAACTGGTTGGAGACTACGGTGGGTGGGTGGGGTTTGCTGGTGACATAATCAAGATGGGTAGCCATGGTAGTCTGCCTGTAGCAAAAGGGCAAGAGTCTAGTAGCTCCTTAGTGAAATAATGACAACTCTGGTGACACTGTGATGTCATTTCTGATGTGGCCAAAGGTGAGGTCACCACGTCGCCAGCAATGCTCTAGCATTGTAAAACAGAGCTCTTCCCCCAGGCTTTTGGGAGCCGCCGCCACCACCAGTGAAGAACATCGGTTGGCTGAAAGCGAGAAGGCCCTGGACTCTGGAAGTTGCCACCCACAGCCTAAAGAACAGCAAGCCCTGCAAGGACATTCCAAATGAACACTAAGAGCTGGCTGTGAGATGAGAGCTTTGTACACTGGTTATCGGCTGCTACCGTCGTACGGATACCGACATCTACTAGCACTTTAGTACGATTTTATAATTTGTTTTAATTGCAACTTATGTTTTTACTGTAATACCCTTTTTTTTTTGTAAGCTGCCCTGAGCTGGCTTCGGCTGGGAGGGCGGGGTAAAAATCCAAACAAACAAACAAACAAACAAATAAATTTGGTCAAATCGTAGAGTATTGCCATTGAGCATTGCCTCTGAGTCAGGGATGTCAAATCTGGTCACACTGGAAGTGACATCATCACACCAGGAAACTGCTGATCACCCCCCCCCTCCATTTCCCCCGTTACCTTTCTGAGCAGTGGTGGGAATGGCAGGCGAGGGTGAGGAGAAGCCTCCTGCCTTAGGGGGAGACCTGGCAACCCTGGACATAACCACGTTTCTTATTTGGGGGACTGGATACTCTGGCTGATTCTGGCAACCTACACAGATCAGGAGTGTTTACCTTTAGGATTCTCCCACTGGCTCCTACAGTGATGGTTATGAGGGCCGGACCACTGTTGGCTATCCACTGTCGGGATGAGGGTGTTCTTATTGGGTTAAATGTAAAAAAAAAAATTCACTTGGAAGCACAGGAGCGTTATGCAGTACCCTTGATCCGCCACGTTTCATGGATAAGGGGAAAATGCTGTTCAAACAACTTACAACAATGACCTGGCTACAATGGCAACCAGAGAAAGAAATTTTACTTACAAAAATAGAAGCACATCATACATGACAAGAAACAATGTGGCCTTCATCCAGATTCCTTCCGTGTTTTTAAAATGAAGTATCATTCTTTCATTCATTCAGTTCATTCATTTACCTACTCCCTTTACACCCTGCCTTTCTTCCCAACGGGGATCCAGAGCAGCTTACATCATTCTCCTCTCCTCCATTTGATCCCCACAATAGCCCTGTGAGGTAGGTTAGGCTGGGAGTTGGTGATGGGCTCCTAGTATACCCAGCAAGCTTCTATGGGAGTGTGGAAATTTGAATCTGGGTGTCTCAGATCCTAGGTTGCGATCACACACACTAAATAATCCACTTTCAATCCACTTTCAACGCACTTCTGAATTGGATTTTGCCAGTTCACACAGTAAAAAATCCAGTTTGAAAGTGCACTAAAAGCGGATTGACAGTGGATTATTTAGTGCGTGTGATCGCAGCCTTAAACCGATTTTCCACAAGCGCTGCTCCACGCTCGCTCTTCACTTTTGCCCCGATGGTACGTGTCAATTTCACACACACTGCTGTGTGGCCGCATCTTGCCCCGCAGCTTTGCGTGATTTTCCCCGTGTCTACTCAATCCTGTTTTTTGAGAATTGAGTGGACGCGGGGGAAATCGCACGAAACTCCGGGGCAAAATGCAGCCACGCAGCAAGCACGTGTGAAATGGACATGTACCATCGGGGCAAAAGGGAAGAGCGAGCGTGGAGCAGCGCTTGTGGGAAATCGGCCTTATATTCCAACTACTACACTATACTGGTTCTCTTCCTTGGAAATAGATCAAGATGGCTAGCCGTGTTAGTCTGTTGTGTAGCAGCAGAAAAGAGCAAAAGTCCAGTAGCAACTTAAGCACCAACAAAATTTGTGGCAGGGGATGAGTTTTTGTGAGTCACCGGCTCACAGAAGAAGTGAGCAGTGACTCATGAAAGCTCATACCCTGCTCTTTTCTACTGCTAACATCTCTTGTATGTTCAGGGCTATGCTTTTGTTTTCAAAAGCAAGTGCGCACCTGCTTAAACAGATGGGTAGGCTGGGCAGGGAGCTACATTCAAGAGCGTTCTGCTTTTGTCCTGACCTGGGTGGCCCAGGCAAGCCTGATCTCATCAGATCTCAGAAGCTACGCAGGGTCGACTCTGGCAAGTACTTGGATGGGAGACCTCCTTGGAATGCCAGATCTGGGAGGTGGGGGTAGTCTTTATTCAGCCACCTCTCTGAATCTCCTCCATGCCCTCAGTAGGCACGGTTTGCCAGTTTGGTGTAGTGGTTAAGTGCGCGGACTCTAATCTGGGAGAACCGCGTTTGATTCCCCACTCCTCCACTTGCACCTGGCTGGATGACCTTGGGCAAGCCATAGTTCTGGCACAGCTGTTCTTGAAAAAGAGCCGTTTCTGTCAGAGCTCTCTCAGCCCCACCCACCTCACAGGGTGTCTGTTGTGGGGAGGGGAAGGGAAAGGAGTTTGTAAGCCGCTCTGAGACACCTTTGGGTAGCGAAGGGCGGGGTATAAATCCAATCTCCTCTTCTTCTTCTTCTAGGGGGGCAGTCACCAGAGTTTGCTGTGACTTCCAGCTGCACACACGTTCACACATACTCATGTGCAGAAAAATACCAAAAAACAGCAACGGCGCTCTGTTTCCAAGCATCTGGCCAACAATCTGCAAGCACTTTCAAGCAGCAGATGAGGATTGTTGTTTTTTTCCTGCCCTCATGGGGCAGTCACCAGAGTTTGCTGTGACTTCCAGCTGCACACACGTTCACACATACTCATGTGCAGAGAAATACCAAAAAACAGCATTTTACAGCGCTCTGTTTCCAAGCATCTGGCCAACAATCTGCAAGCACTTTCAAGCAGCAGATGAGGATTGTTGTTTTTTTCCTGCCCTCATCTTGCTTTTGTGCTTCAAATCCCTCTCACAACCTGTTTCCACTCCCCCCCCCATTCAGGATTCTAAGCACATTTCTGCATCATGCATCTATCAAGGTCACTATGGCCTGTTCTGACTGACAGGGATTCTCTCTAGCATCTGAGATAGAAGTCTTTCACATCACCCGATCCTTTTAACTGGAGATGCCGGGGGATCGGTCCTGGGACGTCCTGCATGCCAAGCAGATGATGGACCACTGAGCCACAACCCCACTTCAAGTACTGTGTGTATCGCATAGGTAATTCGTTTAAATGCTGCTATCCTGATCGCCTATTCAAACTGGTTCATAAGGGCAGCTTACAAAGAAAAAGAAGAAGAGAAGAAGAAGAGAAGAGAAGAGATTGGATTCATACCCTGCCCTTCACTTGGAGTCTCAGAGCGGCTTACAAACTCCTTCCCCTCCCCACAACAGACACCCTGTGAGGTAGGTGGGGCTGAGAGAACTCTGAGAAAAAGAGATACAAACATTAAAACACAGCAAAATAACCTTATGCATGTGTGTTTGCGCATATTCATTCAGACATTCATCCAGGTTTGAGAAAGGGATTACATACAGACATCAACGTTACCTCTTCGATTGGCGTGGTGAGAAATCCCCAGCGTTTTGGCCATTTTCGCGCAGCTTCCTGTTCTCTTTCAAGGTGATCCTTCCTGACGCAAACAGAGGGAAAAAACAAGCAGAAGTCTAAAACTTTCCCCCCAGATTCCTACTTGAAAAGATCTACTGGCACAGTGCACTGGAAGCCATCAGACGCATGTGCAAGCAGATTGCTTTAAGGATTCCAGGCCTCTGAAAAGGCACCAGACTAAAAACCATTATAGTGTAGAAGGTTTGTGTTAAATTGTATAGAAGGACACTCTCTGTAAAAGCCCGGAAGCCATCAGACGCATGTGCAAGTGCTTTAAGGATTCCAGGCCTCTGAACAGGCACCAGACTAAAAACCATTATAGTCTAGAAGGTTTGTGTTAAATTGTATAGAAGAGCGTCGTTTGTTCAAGTGTGTGCTATAATGATTCCAGTATTGGAGACTTGGAGGATACCTGGTTTCAAATCCCTATTCTGCCATGTAGCACAGCCTCAGGGCCAGGCATTCTGTCATAGCCAAGTAGGGCTGCCATCCCCCCAACAAGGGGTGGGGGTTTGCCTCCTTTCAGGGCCCCTGATCTGTCAGCCTGAATCTGGCTGGCAGGGTGAATCTCGCCTTCAAAGTGCCCCATTCGAACCAACATGCCCGGCGCAATGACATCACCCAGAGGTGACATCATTGCGCAGGGCATGTGGCAGGAGGACGCTCTGTCATTCGAGGAAAAACTCTAGGGTTACTATAGAGGTTTCCCCCTCAAACAATAGACCGTCCCCCCACAATGTGCCCTGAATGATGATGTCACTTCCAGGTGACGCAGAAAGAGAGAGGAACCCCGCCGGCAGCCAGGTAAGACCTGGCAACCCTACAGCCAAGCCTAGCTATCTGGGTTACTGTGAATGAAAAGTACTGGGTTCGCCACATGGAGGACTCAGACGACGACATACTGTAGCACACGTTTATTGTACTTCACACAAACAAAGATTGACTAGCAACGGCCAACCGGGCCAACTATATACATATCCACCCAGCAACCCCCCATTCCCATTGGAGGGTTTGAATGTCCCGCCAAGGTGGCTATTGGTTGGGGCTGGGGGATCCAGGATCCGAAGTTTCCATTGTTCTAGGATCCAAGCTGTGGCCTGTTCCACGGACCCCTGGTGGCGGTCCACGTACATAACAGTGAGGATAAAATGAGCAAGAAAGAACCATGCACTCTACTCTGAAATACGTCAAGGGAGGGTGGGAAAAAATGTGCTAGAGAGAATGTAAGAAGAGGCCAGCACCCCATCTCACACAGTGGCCAACCAGTTCCTCTGGATGGCCCGATGCTGCCTCCTGGCACTGGGATTCAGAGGCTGACAGCCTCTGAACATGGAGGTTCCCTTTAGTCACTATGGCTGGTAGCCACTGATGGACCCATAGAGTTTCCAGAGATTCCTAGAGCTACCCTATATCATTTCCGGATTTTCAACAGAAGTGACATCGCAGCGTATGCGACATCATGGCCCCCCCTTGCCCCATCCCCGAACTTCCATGCATATCTCACACACACACGCACACACATGCACGCACACACACGGGGTTGTTGCAACATTTCTCCTGTCGTAAAGAGACCTTTTGCTTACTGAAGGAATTATGAGCCAGTTGATTTCATTTACTGCGTGAGTCCTTTTCAAGGACTTCGGAGGCGGGGGGAAATAAAAGCCCTGCAGCAATTTACAACATATTTACTCTAAAGTAATTATATTAAGCCATTGTTTTGCAGTAAATGATTGTACGGATCGTAACCTTGCTCTCTTAAGTTGTTAACAGCGTGACCCGCAAACCAGCTAAGATGAAGCACTTGGAGTGAGGCTGGGGACTTTAATGTACTCTGATTTTCATTGAGCTGTGGACGGTGTGCTGCCCAAGGAGCTTAGATTGCAGTTTTAACGGTAACATTATGAAGTAATTCTGATATCAATGGATTGTGACGCCCTGCTTCTTTAATTCTTTAGTCTACCTGAGGAAAAAAAACCCATTTTCATCCCTGCCTTTCACACATGAGGGAGTGCAAAGGGTACCGAACAAATAGAACAGAGCCGTCACTTAATGGTTACTGCTCATCATCGAAGCCATCGTATAAACAGAGTCATTTATTCTGGGGGCAACTATCCCTCACTTTTATTATTTATTTTGTTAATTTAAGCCCTGAGCGATGTCACAGAATGGGGATAACCTTGGGCCAGTCGTGGCCTAATCTACCTCACAGGCAAAAAATAGGAGGCCTTGAACTCTTGGGATGATGGTTTGGATTAAAAAAATGGAAATAAGGGGGGAGAGGGAATTGGCCCAGAATTTTACCCACTTAGGGTTGCCAGGTCTGGGTGGGGAAATACCTGGAGATTTGTTGGGGTGTGTGTGTGGAGCTGGAGGAGGGGGGTTTGGGGAGGAGAAGGACTTCAATGGGGTATGATGCCAGACTCCGTTTTTCAAAGCGGCCATTTTCTCCAGTCGAACTGGTCGCTGTTGCCTGGAGATCAGTTGTAATCAGTGTTCCCTCTAAGCTGAGTTGGTGTGAGCTAGCTCACAGTTTTTTAGCCTCCGGTTCACACATTTTTGTCTCAGCTCAGGAAGGATGGCTCCAGAGCAAACTGATTTATGCAGTAGCACAATCGCTCTCTTGCAACTTTAATGTCAGGAGCTCAAAGTAGAATTTGTGCTCACAAGACTCCACAGCTTAGAGGGAGCCCTGGTTGTAATCCCAGGAGATCTCCAGCTGCCCCCTGGAGGCTGGCAGCCCTACACCCACTTGATCATTATACCCCTAACAAAGGATTGATTCCCCAGATTTTTTTTCTAGGTTTAGACACTAGAGGCTCCACTGCTGCTTGCCCAGCCTTGTAGCTTGCTGTGCTTGCGATATTAAACAATACTGAGAAACAGTCCTGTAGGTAGGGATTTTGGGGGCAGGGGACCCACCAGCTAATTAAATCATAGGCTCTGGGGCAAGGGGAGGGGGTTATGCCTAGTGGCTGCAGCTTCTGCTCCCCCGCAATGGCAGGCCTTCCCTGGAGCATCCGGCTCCCTCCCTCCCCGAGAAGCTCCACTGCCCCTTCCCACGGCGTGCGCCAGGGCACCCTGACTTCCACCCATGGCTCCCTCCCGGGGCTGGGAGAGGGGAGGTGTGTGGTGGCTGGGCTGGCCATGGAGGTGCCATGTGTGGGCTCAGTGCACTGGAGCACAGCTGGGTCAGAGGAGGTGCCTGCCTGCCTCCTTGCCTTGCCTGGGCTTTACAATTCATGCTTGCTCCCTGGGTGGCTCTCTCAGCCTCGCCTTGCCTCTATGGCATCGTGCCCCACTGAAGTCCTTCCCCTCCCTAAACCCCACCCTCCTCAGACTCCACTGCCCCCCCAAAATCTCCATGTATTTCTGAACCTGGAGCTGGCGATCCTAGTTGTAGAGTCTATTTATTTTTGTTGTCTAAATTTCATTTTTGTGCTTTTTTCTAAACTACTTTGAAATCCCCATTGGGGAAAAAGCGGAGATACTTAAGTAAATAAATTCTGCACAGCTGGTTGGGCACTATGGGAAACTGGTTGCTCGGCTAGTTGCATGGGGTGTGATCCTAGAACAGCTATTCTTCTGTTTCCCAGATGCAAACTGGAGTGTATTCAGTGGGTGTGATAAGCATAACCTGGAGGGATGACCTCTGGATTCTCTTTAATGGTCGCGGTCACACGAGCTGGATGATCCACCGCGGCAAATCAGAGCCGGAGCAAAAAGAACCGTGGGAGCGCCATCCGACGTGCCCCCGCGGCTCCGTGCCTCAGCAGCCAATCACACGGTGCACAACAAACCTGCAGTAGCGCGGTTGTGCACATGCGTGGGATGGGGAACGGCGCTGGCTGCGACGGCCTACCGGCGCTTCCCCGACCAGACGCCTTCCGTTGGCCCGCATCATGCGGTAGGTACTGCTGTTTTGCTTGTACCTTTTTGATGTGTGTTTGTGGGCTTAAGGGACAGATCGGGGACGGGTGCACACCACTTCCCAGATGTTGCGGTGTGATCGTGCCCGCTTGATGCGCCCCTGATCCGTCCCTCTTGCGGATCAAATCCTCCCATGTGACCGGGACCAGTGAATAGGAAACAATCAGGGATCCACACAGCAAAGGCATAGCTCCTCCAACCCTTTGCTTAATTAAAAAAAAAAGTTCTTGTATTGTGAGAAAGATTAGTGACTGCTTGACCTTGAAAATAAATAAATTAAATAAATAAATATAAATTAAGAAAACATCAGAAGCCCGGGTGCAAATGATGGCTGCCTTTGCAAAACTCTGGCAAAGCCCTATTAAAAGTTTTGATCAGGCATAACAACAGAAAAGGAAAAGTATTAGAAAGACCTGAGAGTGTTCCTGTATGGTGGTGGATACCATGCTGGACTATGCCAGGAGAGACCTGGATTCAGTTGAAATCCCCACTCAGTCATGAAGCTCCCTGGCTAGCATTGCCAACTCCAGGTTGATAAATACCTGGAGATGTGGGGGGGTGGAGCTCGGGAAGGACGGGCTTTGGGGAGGGGAGGGACCGCAGCAGCCACAGAGTCCACCCTCCAGAGCAGCCCTTTGCTCCAAGTGAACAGCTCTCTGTCATCTGGAGATCAGTTGAAATTCTGGTAGATCTCCAGGCCCCAACTGGAGGCTGGCAACTTTGTCCCTGGCTCACTGTGGGTCAGCTGCAGCACCAAACTATGTAGGACTTCCTTCAGTTTGGTGTAGTGGTTAAGGGCTCAGACTCTAATCTGGGAGGACCGGGTTTGATTCCCCACTCCTCCACTTGCACCTGGATGGATGACCTTGGGCAAGCCATAGTTCTGTCAGAGCTGTTCTCGAAAAAGAGCAGTTTCTGTCAGAGTTCTCTCAGCCCCACCTACCTAACAGGGTGTCTGTTGTGCGGAGGGGAAGGGAAAGGAGTTTGTAAGCCGCTCTGAGACTCTGAGTGAAGGGCGGGGTATAAATCCAATCTCCTCCTCCTCCTCCTCTTCTTCTTCCCTTGAAATCAGTGCCAGTCTGGCATAACTCTGCATAGTGTTGTACTGACAGTCATTCTTTTTCGGCCTAGCCTACTGCACAAGGCTGTTGTGAGAAGGATAAAATAAAGGAATGGGAAACCTTGTTTGCTGCTCTGAGGTCATTGAAGGAACAGTTGGATGAAAAACCAAGAACAGAACTGGGGAAAATGGATTTCATTATCAAATCCAGGTGAGCAGAGGTTTGTGTGATCATAGCACAAGATTTTAAGAAATTGGTATCACATTAGGGGAGAAGGGGTCTATACGATTAAGAGATGTGGGTACTTTTGAAGGTGATTAGTGGCATCTCAAAGGCCAATACATTTCCTGTTTGGCTAGTCTTGCCACAACAATCCCTGTTTATTTTTGCTGCAACTGACTTGGAGTGGAAATTGGATTTACACTGAAGCAAAGCTGCATAGACTTGCAGACATACAGATAGAAAAGGGTAACAGTTCAGTAGCCCCTTCAAAACTAACAACATTTGTGGTAAGGCATGAGTTTTCACGAGTCACTGCTCACTTCCTCAAATATAGCGTGTATCTGAAGAAGTGAGCCAGTGACTCACAAAAGCTCATACCCCACCACAAATTTTGTTAGTCTTTAAGGGGCTACTGGACTCTTACTCTTTTCTACTGCTACGAACAGACTAACAAGACATACAGATAATCATCTCAATTTATCGGAGTACCCAAGTCCATTGAATCCAATGGCTTGAGTGTTGCCAGCCTCCAGGTGGGACCTGGAGTTCTTTCGGAAATTACAAGTGACCTCCAGACTACAGAGATTAATTCCCCTGGACAAAATGGCAGCTTCAGAGGGTGGTCTCTAGCCTATACCACAGTTTCTAGGTGACGTCCCTCCCCAAATTGCCCTTTCCACCTCCACTGCCTCCAAATCTCCAAAAATGTCCCAGTCTGCAGTTGGCAATCCTAATTTAGATGGGTGAAACTGTTTAGGATTGTAATGTTTGAGGCAACTGGGGCCTACTTGGACAAGCCCCTCCAGTAAAAGAAGGATTAAAAACCGAATAGGTAACAGAAAGAGGGAAAACTGGGTTTGTGTTGTGTTTTTTTTTGGGGGGGAGGTAATTAAAGGGAAAAGGTTAATTAGGAGAGTGGGTTTACCATATCTGGGCCTCCGCCACAAAGTTCAGCTGGTTTTTCTGCGACATCCTAGCCCTTGCTTCGGACTAGCGCCTCCTGGGAACGAGGTGGAGAAAGAGCACTTGCTTGAAGCTGGGTTTTGGCTGCCGCCAGGTAAGCAAGAGGTGAGCTGGTGAGTGGACTGCTGCTTCTGCTTTGCCGTTGCTAGGAGACAGCTGGGGAATGTTGTGGGAGGAGGCCTGGCTTCTGCCTAGGCCTGTCCTGACATGGATGGGCGGGCTGTGTGTTTGTCCACCTGAGTGAACTCTGCGCCAGTGGTGTGCGGGACACCTCGGCTTCCAGGGCAAATATGGCATAACAAACCAAACTCCCTCCAATACTTCAGGGATGAAACCAGGGTGTCTGCTTCTGGAATGCCAAGGCTCACCCTCACCATCCAACGTTTTAAAATGGCACCCCACAAAGTCTTGGCAAAAGGGATAACAGTTCAGCAGTTTATGAAGGACAGCTCGATTCGAGTCCAACAGCACCTTGAGAGACCAACAATAAGCTTTTGAGAGTCAAAGCTCTCTTTTGGCTCTTGAAAGTTCATACCCCCCAAATCTTCTTGTCTCTCAGGTGCTACCGGACTCGAATCTATTGCAGGCGAACACAGCTACCACCTGAAAACAGGGATACCAGAATATGAATCACAGATGCAGAAAAGAACAGTCACTTGTATCCTACCATTCCACTCACAAAGATGGAAGCCTTCCTTCAAGCTCAGGGGCTTCAGCCTTTGCTGTATGAAATTGTTATGTACGCGGACCGCCACCAGGGGTCCGCGGCTAAAGCAGGAGCTTGGTCCCCAAACACAAAGGGGACCTAGGATCCTAGTCCACCTTGGGTCCACCAATAGCACCCTTGGTGGGAAATTCAAACCCTCCAATGGGAACATAGGTGTGCCAGGTGGAGTGTATATAGTTGGCCCTGCAGGGCCGTTTTCTTTGTCTTGTGAAGTACAATAAACGTGTCTGAATGCATGTCGTAGTCCGAGTTCTCCATGCGTCGAACCCAGTACTTTTCAGAAATACAAAAAAAACTCTGCAAAAGGGGTTGGAGACCAGGCCAACATTCAGTATTTACACAGCGCTTTCAATGTTTGGAGAGCTTTAGACATGTGATCTTCTTGTACTCTTCACAACAGCCCTGTGAAGTAGGCTAATATTATTACTTTCATATTGCAGATGAGTAAGGGTGTTTGTGGCAGACAGTGGCTTACTTAAGAGAAGAAGAAGAAGAAGAGGAAGAAGAAGAAGAAGAAGAAGAAGAGATTGGATTTATACCCCGCCCTTCACTCGGAATCTCAGAGGGGCTTACAAACTCCTTTCCCTTCCCCTCCCCACACCAGACACCTTGTGAGGTAGGTGGGGGCTGGGAGAGCATTTTCCTGAATTGTCCTTGAGAGAACAATTTTCCTGAACTGTCCTTGAGAGAACAGCTCTGACAGAACTATGGCTTGCCCAAGGTCATCCAGCAGCTGTGAGTGGAGGAGTGGGAAATCAAACCCGGTTCTCTCAGATTAGAGTCCGCACACTTAACTACCACACCAAACTGCTCTCAGAGTGCTGAATTAAGGCCTCAGAGTGCCGAATTCAAAGCAGAGGCAAGATCTGAATCCGTGGCTTCTACGATCTCAGCTCTTTGGTTCTCTTGTCAGCTTCTGGTTTCCCCCTAAACCTACATGTAAATTTAGTTTTGGTCTCCTTTATTTCTCATGTTTCCTGTGTAAGGGGAAACAAGATGTTCTTGTTTTATGTTAGGGGTTCACTTGGGGGGCCTGTAGCCAAGGCTCCAGGCATAAACTCAAATTTGCTTAATTCACATTAGAAATGTTGGGGATTATAACTGTGTAGAGGAAGAGCGAGATTCACATTAATACAAGGATAACGGGAAGGAAGCAGTTTCTGGTCAAATCTGCGCTTCAGTAGTTATTATAAGACAGCATGCCTAATTCCTTTCTGATGTGAGTGTAAATTGTTAAGCTGAGGTGGAAAATGGGAGAGCCACTTTCAAAATCGATGGTACTTTCATACCAGTTCAGAAGTGCATTACAGAATGTGGAAATGCAAAAAGGGCCTTAATGTGTGAAAAACACCCCTGTGATTTGAGGTTTTGAATTTCCTCAGGGTTTAAAAATCTTTCACATTTGAGATCCGAAATGGAATGTGCGTAACAGTGCAATCCCTAACGGAGTTATACCCTTTCTCAACCCAATGGATTTGGAAGGGAGTATCTCTGTTTACCCTGGAGCTGCGGTGGCTCAAGTGGTTAAGACGCTGAACTGCAGGCTGTGGAAGGTCGGTAGTTCAGCAGTTCGAGACCCGGGTGCCGCATGACGGAGGGAGCTCCCGTCTCTAGTTCCAGCTCCTGCCAGCCTAGCAGTTCGAAAGCAAGAAATTGCAAGTAGATAAATAGGGACCACTTCGGTGGGAAGGTAACAGCGTTCCGTGCGCCTTGGTGTTTAGTCATGCCGGCCACATGACCACGGAAACGTCTTTGGACAGCGCTGGCTCTTTGGCTTTGAAACGGAGATGAGCACCGCAACCCTAGAGTCGGATTCGACTGGCTTTCGAGCAAGGGAACCTTTACCTTTACCTTTATCTCTGTTTAAGGTTGCAGCGTAGGTGAGTAGTACGGGGGTCAGGATGCTGGGCTTGGTTACGGGACAATCCAGGCTCAAAACCCCTTTGCCAGCTGCCAGCTCAGCAGACATCGGTCTGCACAAACAACCGTTTCTTAACCCGCTCTGCCTTACAGGATTGTTATTCCTCTGGAGCTCTTAGAAACAGGACGGCAGACAAATAACAATAGTTTACAGAATGGCTTGTGCTATTCGCTTGTTCTGGATGATTTAGCAGAGAAAGAGCTGAACACACTTCCTGGCTATATTTGAGAATCTGGGAAAATATTTACAGCTTGCAAAAAGTTCGCTGTGTTCTAGTATATTAATATTTTTGGCCTTCTGTCAACTTTCCAGTACATTTTTTTTTCCTTCTAGCGGCGGCTTTATAAAACATTTCAATACCAAACAACACCAACTGTCTCTGTTCACTTAACTTCTCTTCTTCCCTTTCACCCTCCCAAGCAGTTTTGTGTTGTAAACTAGGGTTGCCAATCTCCAGGTGGGACCTGGAGAGCTCTTAGAATTACAAGTGATCTCCAGACTACAATAGAGATCAGTTCCCAGAGCCAGCTGTGGTATAGTGGTTAAAAATGGCAGACTTTTATCTGGAGAACTGGATTTGATTCCCTCCACTCCTCTGCATGCAGTCAGCTGGGTGACCTTGGGTCAGTCACAGTTCTCTCAAGAGCAGTTCTCTCAGAGCTCTCTCAGCCCCACCTACCTCACAGAGTGTCTGTTGTGGGGAGAGGATGGGATGGTAAGCCGCTTTGAGACGCTGAGTAAAGGGTGGGGTATAAATCCAACTTCCCCCTCCTCCTCTTCTTCTTCCTCCTCCTCCTCCCCTGGAGAAAATTGCTGCTTTGGAGAGTAGACTCTATGGCACTATACCCTGCTGAGGCCCCTCCCCAAACCCTCCCCTCCCTGGGCTCCACTCCCCAAATTCTCAGGAATTTCTCAGCCCGGAGTTGGCAACCCTACTTTTTCCTGCACCCAGTAGTACAGGAAGAAAATTTAATGGTGAAAGCCTTTGTGGTGCAGTGATGATACTATCAGACTATGGCCTGGGAGATCAATTTCCCACTCTGCTGTAGAAACTTGTGAGGTGGCCTTGGGCCCGTCATTGTCTCTTGGCCTAGCCTACCTTGCAGGGTTGTTGTAAGGAGAAAATGGAGGAGAGGAGAATGACGTTGTAAGCTGCTTTGGGCTGCCATTTGAGGGGAAAAGCAGGAAACAACAAACAAACACCTAAGAACATAGCTACAGCCTGCTGGATCTGACCAGCAGTTCATCTAGTCCAGCATCCTGTTTCACACAGCGGCCACCCAGTTGCCCTGGAGGACCAAACAGACAGGGCAAGGAGGCCAAGGCCTTCCCCTAATGTTGTCTCCTGGCACTGGGATTCAGAGATTTGTTGCCTCTGTAGATGGAGGTTCCCATCACTTACCTTGGCTAGTAGCCATTGACGGATCTGTTTTCCATGAAGGTGCTTAAACCCCTTTTATCTATGCTCATGATGATCACTGCCAGTGAATCCCACAGTTTAATTGAGTAAAGAAGTATTTCCTTTGGAGCTATCCCACATTCTCATTTCCCTTGCTTTTGAGTCCCTATTGCTTCAGGGGTTCCCCCCCCCTTTCCACACATGTTTTGCTCCCTCTAGTGGTCGATTCAATATTACGTGCTGTCTGTCCAGCATAAAAACCTGCAGATTTAAACTGCAGGTTTTTATGCCAGATGTACAGTAATGGAACATCAAATTGACCACTAGAGGGGGCAAAAGATATGTGTAAAAGAATCCTCCCCCCAAAAGCAATAGGGACACACAAGGAAGGAAAATGATAATGTGGAAGAAGAGAGAAGAAGAGATTGGATTTATACCCCACCTTTCACTACCTGAAGGAGTCTCAGAGCAGCTTACAATCTCCTTTCCCTTCCCCTCCCCTCCCCACAGCAGACACCCTGTGAGGTAGGTGGGGCTGAGAGAGCTCTCTCAATTTATTTATTTATTTATTTATTAAGATTTATACCCCACCCTCCCTGCAGAGCGGGCTCAGGGCGGCTTACAAGGGGAAAACCCATATAAAACAGATAAAAGCAATAAAACATTAATGACAAGAACTACCCTTGAGAGAACAGCTCTGAAAGAACTTATGACTGACCCCATGTCACACCAGCAGCTGCATGTGGAGGAGTGGGGAATCAAACCCGGTTCTCCCAGATTAGAGTCCGCACTCTTAACCACTACACCAAACTGGTTCTCCCTTTGTCTGTCCCAGACCTATTTTCCAACAATTTCATTGGTTGCCCTTCTGTTCTAGTATTACGGTAGAGGGATAAAAAGCTCTACCTATCCATTTTTCTACCCCATACACAATAGTATATTACCCTTGAAGACTGAGACAC